AACAAATTGGTATCAGAGCCTGTGTTTTTGGTTGTCTTGTAGCTCTTTGTGAGCAGGTCTATGTACTTTTTTTTATGGGTAAGGTTTTGACATCCTCCCCTTTAACCCCTTAGTATTAGTAGCCCATGCTTCGAATTGGAGCTCCCCTCTAATTCAGGTTGGGATGCTGGATCCTCAGCCCTACCCGTAGCAAGTCAACTCAGTTCCCGTTAAATAAGTTAGGATAGTTTCAATAGCCAGCAAGTTCCTACGTAATACGTTGTAATTGGATAAGTTATTAGGAATATGACGAAACAAAAGACCAAGGAAAGAAAGAAGAATACACCAAAATGCAAGTGTTGCACCAAACACTGGTGGTTGTTTCTTGTTGTAAGTGAATGCAACAAAGAGCATGTCACCATGGACGAAAATACGGTAGAAGAAAAGTTGCGAAGGAAGCCCAAACTCAAACTGAAGCAAAAGTAGCAGCTTCAGAAACCAGGATGGACGCCAAATTCCAACAACTATCCAGCAAATTGAAAACCTTACTCTGCACCACGGCACGTGCGAAGGGAGTTGAAGTTGGAGACAATAGCATTGCTTTTGTCCAACGAACCAGCAAGGCAGGTGAACAACTAGAGGTGCGTTTTGGAGGAAGAAACAACAACAATAATTTTGGTACTGATGACAATAACGGAGGAAGAGGTATTGCTCCCAGATACACTAAATTAGACTTTCCTATTTATGATGGAAGTGAAGATCCTCTTATTTGGCTTCACCGTTGTGAGAAATTCTTTTGTAATCAGCATACAAACATCTAAGAAAAAGTAGGTTTAGCTGCTTTTTAGATGGTTGGGGAAGCGCAAATGTGGGTTTATCAACTGGAACAAGAGGAACCCAATTTAACATGGGGTGTCTTTAAGGAAAATTGTACTCTTCGTTTTGGCCCATCAATGAAAAGCAATCCGTTAGGAGAATTGATCAACTTGAAACAAACCAGTTCTGTTGAAGATTATCAGAGAAACTTCCAAAAAATGTTGTCGTGCATCATCTGTACGTATAGACCAACAAGTAGATATGTTCACAACAGGGTTAGTTGATTTGACTCTTCTGGATGTGGAATTGCACAACCCATCTAACCTAGTACAAGCAATGAGTCTGGCAAGAGCATTTGAGAAGAAGATCCAAATTTCTTCTAGCACACAAAGGGGATATGGTTCAACCTCAAAGATGAGTGCAAGGGCTCCCACTACACCAGTAACTCCGAGTGTTAAGGTAGGTGCTTCTAATCCTTCTGTAAAAAAGTTGGCTCGCGCCGAGATGGTTGCCCGACGTGCAAAGGGATTATGCTACAACTGTGATGATCCTTATGTTGAAGGTCATTAGTGTAAAAAGTTATTTTGGCTGGAAGTAGAGGATGGGGAATCTGGAAAAGTACCAACGGACGGTGGAGAGCCTGCCATCTCACTTCATGCTATCACAGGCAAACAACATGCAAATACTATGCAGTTGCAAGTTGTAATCGATAAGAAGTTGTTGCTTAGCTTAGTGGATTCGGGCAATACACGCAATTTTATTAGCTCAACGGCGGCGGCCCAAAATTTAAACTTGCCTATCGAACAACGAAGAAATTTCAATATATCATTGGCAAATGGAGAGAAGATTTCCAGTTTGGGCATTTGCACAGTAGTGCAATTTTGTGTAGTTAACCAATCCTTTTATGTTGATTTATATGTGATTCCTTTGGATGTTTTTGATATTGTCCTAGGTATCAAGTGGTTGCAAACACTAGGGCCTATTCTGTGGGATTTTGCATTATTGACCATGAGCTTTCAAGTAACGGGGAAGTAAATCATTTTACATGGACAACAACAACTATTGCCAATTTTCATTTTTATATTTCTCTAAGTGTTGGAATACAAATGAGCTGCTTCCTAAGACTTATACGAACTGAAAATTAAGCCTACAAACAAAGGGGACAAGGTCCCGAGAGAAAAACACTAAAAAAGGGTGTCTTTACAAAGGTACAAAGGTTGGTGGAAAAAGGTTGTCCTTTGTTTCCATAAATGGTAAAAAGGACTCTTCCACATATCAAGTCCATTTTGGCTTTGTGGCAGCCCTTGGATTCCGTTTTGATGGCTTGTCAATGGCATTAATTGTTCCCCAAGAGTCTCCAAATAATCTTCGGCTAGATGAAAATTGGCATGACGTTCAAGACTCGTTGGAGCGCGATATAAATCCCAAGGCTGGATGACATGTATTTGACTCATATGGCGCACCCTTACATGCTAAATCACTTCCATGTGCGCCCTAGGGTTTGGCTATGGACATACATATGCCATGCCGGGACCTGAGCATCGCTACTGCGTGCACAATCCAATCCTCAGGCTTGTCAGTCACCTCGTGCATCCGCACTTGGCTTGTCGCTTTGCCTGAGTACGGTAACGTTCAATCCTTGGCCTTAGCCATGTGCGTCTTCCTTACCGTGCCTTCGTTTGTCTTAGGGCATAGCCCACGCACCATGTATACAAGTCTCACAGTGCAGCGTAGCCCCACGACTGTACATCTAGGCCAACGAACCCTTGCTCGCTCGGTTGAACCCTTGTCAAGCTCACAAGTTAGCTCACGAGGCTCTTGAGTGAGTCCCTCGATTGCTCATTCGGCTAGGAGGTCTTTTCCCACAAGGAGAACGACCCAGAAGGCCCAACGTTCGATATATCTAACCCCCACGGCCATCGGGACGCCCAACATTGACTACCGAGTCACATGTCACCCATAGAGCTTTCCTAACTCGTATGGGTACCTAAGACACTCCATTGAGATGCCTAGGCAGGCCCTTGAAGTTCTACTTCAAGGCAACACACTTGGGGCAAAACTCCCGGGGGAGCCTGGTAATCTATCACCATGTATACCCCCCCCCCCCCCTTATATATGCTTAAAATAACAAAACCAATGTGACAGGAGTTGACATGCTTCTGCCAAAGAATCATAATGGGCCATAGACGGCGCTACCGACCTCTAAATTGGGTGTTGTCTGGTAGTAGTTACTAGTCTTGACTTCCTTCACACCTCCATGAAGTTTCATCCCATTCTCATAGTCATAGAGAGGGTTATAGCCTTCGAACTTTCTGCGTATTTACCAAAATGCCATCGCCCTTGGCTAGGTCAAAGACATCCAAATGAACTCTATTAGGCCCCAAATTTGGTAAGCATATATAAGGATAGGCTATGAACAAGTCCATAGCCCGGAATCCCAAAATTCCACTTCTAGCTCGAGAACGTCCGGCAGTCACATACCGCGCCGTACGCGGCCTTCGCCGACAGGCTAAGCCCTGGGGTGCACCCCAAGTCCTTGTTAAATATCTTTGGCACTATAAAGGCATGCCATGCAACATCTCAAATGGTTGTTGCCTCATGCCATGACCCCTTTGCCTCACTCCTACTTTAGCGCCTCCTTCAACACATGCCGTCTACATAGCTAACATAGGTGCGGCCTGCTTGGCCTGCACTCCTTGGCCGACATATTGGCCAGTGTAGACGCCCATATGTTTGGGGCGTTACACCCTCACACACCCAAGACAGTCATCGTCTCGATGACAATTCCCAATCCATGTGTGATGGAACTCTTTCGAGCTCCTCTTAAAACGGAGTAATGCCCCTCACACTTCCTCCTCCCAAGTTTTGTCCAAGCTGCATCTGCACTGCACCTCTCGGTGTTCACTTGGACTGTGTCTCCACACCTGCACCCTTTGGTGACTAACTTCGTGGTGACACTCAAGTCACCACACCATGACCCTCACGGCCTTCAGCTGTCTGGAAACCTGTTCTCCCTTGCAATACATTTGCGTTACTACTAGAGCCGCAAACAAGGCTAAAGTATTGGAGACCTAAAAGTGCATCCTTAGCACCTTCAGCCCGGCCTAGTACCTAGTACCTGGACACATCATGATGAGAACTGTCTAGTACTACAAACAAAACTAGAACATTGGAGGCCTCGAAAGCATGTCCTTGACATCTCTAGCCTGGTCTAGAATCTTCTCTCTCGTACTTCTTAGGAGGGTAGATCACCCTTTTTCCGGTAAATTCTTCCGCCGGAAACTGGACTATGCCAAGGAGCATCAAAAAGGCTCTAGCTTGCTGGAATAGAGATGGGAATCAGTCGGGACACAGGGAGAGATGGAAGATTGTCTCCGCCTGCATTTGGTGGACTATATATGGATGGAAAGGAACCAGAGGTGCTTCGAAAACAAGAGTTGCTCTCAACAGAAATTGAAGATGAACTGTCTAGTCCTTTTCTTTTTTTGGTGTAAACACGAATATCCTCAAGAAGAAGAGGATATTCCTAGTATTTTAGATTATTTATGAAGCCTTCATAGGGACACCTCTCCCGCTGTAATTTTGTTGTAAGTATTACTGGAATACTTTTCTGAGTATTCCTTTTGTTCATAATACAAGTTACCTTCTTCAAAAAAAAAAATGAGACTGCAGAGACAAACAGTAATCTGTTCCTGCATTGTAAAGTGACAGACCAATAGTGCTCACTCTTCTTTAGCCTCACAGGTAACAACCGGACTATGCCTGAACACACAGCGGACCTTTTAAGTTGTTGGATTAGGAGAGGGGCTAGCAAGTCGCTGAAGAGATGGTGGAGAGCAGTTCCATCGTGAATTTAGTGGACAATATGGAAGGAAAGAAATGGCAGAAGATGAAGTGGACTTTCATCGTGAATTTTCATTTTGGTGTAAACTAGCAAATGTGGAAAATGAAGTTCAATTTGTTTGGGCTATAGTTTCTCTGTTGATAAACTTTTTGGAGGTCTCCAACATATCCTTAATGTCGAGGAATACAATTACAAGTTCTCAGAAAAGTAGAGGATGAACCCATCCTTGTGTCTAGATCTGATGAATAAAATCATATGAAGCAAATAGCTCTTAAATTAGGAGCGAACTAGGGAGTCCAAGGAAAGAAAGGACAGCCATTGAAAAAGAAGCAAAAGAATAAAGGGATAGAAAGTATCCTACCTATCTTGAACTAACGGAACTCATCATGGTCTTCATAGTCTTCATCATCCTCGTTGAATATTGCACTATAGAAAACATACGGGCTATCAATCATCTCTTTCAGAGTAAGCCTTCCGTCTTTATCTGCATCAGCCTGAGAAAAAACATGGTAGAATTACTGAACACACTATTTCCCACTCACTATCCAAGAACAATCAGCGAACAAGAATGAGGTGCATTATGAATCTATTTTGTTTCGAAATAGTTCAGTTTTGCACGCGATAGTGCGATCCACCAATATTTAAGTTTTTAAATTTGCTAAAGATTCAATCACATTAAAGGATTTCAGGTTCACTAGTTTGCAAAGGGGAACAACATTGGGAACTTTTTGTGCAATTCCTTTCTATTTTTTGTGAAATATCTCCATTAATAGATGCATAAAATTAAAACAAAAAAAGCAGACACCCACACCACTACATTGTAATGTTCACCAATAACAAGAGACAAGTACTTCCCACGAGATTTATTAATGTATACTAAAACTGAGTTACTGGAAATAAAAGTGTACTTTCCAACTAAAAGCTATGCTTTAGGAGATTATTACATCACAGATGGTACAAAATTGTTTGAATTGTTACTTCAATGTAGCTTCTCTGTTGACAAGACCTATATGTGAACAGTGTACCTTCCAAGTCATCCAGAAATACATTCTAAAGAAGATAACTTAGAACTAAGAGCAAATAGCTCCTGAAGGCCTGATTAGGCAGAAAAAGTTTTTGATGACAGTAAATCCTTTCTTGAGAAAAACAGACTAACATTATTCAACAATGGACTTGTCGAGTGGGCCAGGCCAGGACCCATTAAGGGTAAGCCCATCAATTCCAGAATGGGGCCGGGCAGGCCTGTCCTTAATGGGCCTGGTTTCGGCCGAGCTAATTTTTCAAGGGAGGCAAGCGGGCACATCCCACAACCTGTTAAAAAGGTGGTTCGGCCCAATCCGAGATAGGGCCAGTTTGGTTTAATTTTTTTTATTTAGTTACAATTTTGAAATTATATCGAGTTTTTTAAGTTTGTATTTTATACTTCAAACTTTAATATTCAAATATTTGAACTAGCAAATAAGTGAATAACCAAACTAATACTGGAATTTGTACCTGGATATAAATTTGAAAAAAAAAACTCAAAGGCTCAAACGAGTCTTAAATTTTATCAAGTATAAATTTGAATTTCAATATATCAATACAATTTGCAAGTTTGTGTTTTGAATTTTGAACTTGAAAATTAGAACAAGTGTTTTCTACCTGAATTTTAAGAAAGAGAGAGAGACTTCAAAGTACAAAAGATGAATGGAAAACGATCAAAGGTTTTTAAAACAATAAGTATAACCTCCACATTAATTTGAGGAGAAACCAAAAAACAACCATTGTTATAATAAAAAATGGCACAAACCGGGCTAGTTCCCTTCAAAATAGCAGTATAATAAGCAATTTCCCTCCAAAATACAAGCTATAGCCACCTATAGCTCCTAAGCAGGCAAAAAGCAAATCAATGGCAGTAGTTTGGTTATAGCTTAAGAAATAAAGATAATGCAAACATGCAAGTACTAGTTGGTAATAGCAAGGAGTAATAAGTCAATTCAGCACTCTATTAAATAAGGCACTTCAGTTCAGTAAAAATTACCTGCTGTATGATGTAATCTGCTTGTTGTTTGGCATAGTAACGCTCTGATGGATGAAGCTTTCCAGTTATAGGTAGCAATTCAGCTTCTGACAAATATCTGCATAAAATCAAATTTAAAGGTTTGTTGATGAATTTACTCGAATCAATTACTGCAACAGATGTCTAGTTTCTTACCCATCCCCATCTTTATCAAGCTCAGCAAACAACTTTCTGGCTGGAGACTCTTGTGAATCCTCAGAATGATGAGAAGTATCATGACTCTCCTCGTCATAGTTTCTTACCAAGTCAAACAGCCCATGAAAGAACTCGTTGAAATTAACCTTACCATCTTTGTCACTATCTCTCTCCCTGAAATAAAATGGAGAGCAAGAAAAGAAATCAAATTATTATAAACAGTGTTCACCTAGGAAGGACTGCTTCTCTACAGTAAATTATCTCTAAAGCATGTTCATTAACAAAACCAAAGATTAGCAAATAAAAAATTGCAAGGCATAAAACAGTTTGAAACTCAAAACTAGTAGAATCTCCAGTAACTTACCAGACCTACATTTTAATGCACATATACCAATGGAACATTTATCTTATAAGCTATACTTATACTTGATACTGTACAAGTAATTAAGAAGCGTCACGAGCTTGTTAATGGAGAATGTCAAAAGATTTAGATTATTGGTATAGGATTGTTATTTCTTTAAATTGGAGCTGCTAAAGTCATTGTTTACAATTCTTTTTGTTTCTTTTTTTCCTGCATAATCTTCCAATGCTGGAAGCCATATTTTCCTTTAGCATCCTTTTATTTTGCTCAATATGTTGAAGAATCTACTTCGATGATACATGATTAGGTTCACACACCACTTAAAAGATCAAAGTTTTCTGGCATATGGATGAGTTTATATAGTTCTATGACCTAATTCTATTGCCCTTTCACTCCCTACACTTGAAAGGAAAGAAAGAAGAGAACAAAATAGTAAGGCAAAAATGGAATTGTGTTGTATCTTTTTATTTTTGGTGTGTTAATTATGGTATAATTAGATAGGCCGGATATGAAAATATTCTCTAATCCCTTTAATTAAGCATTTAGGATATTGTGATAATCCAGTAATCCCTTTAATTAAGCATTTAGGAGATTGTGTGTGATATTTTATTATTCTCTTCTTTATTTATATAATCTGTAACAAGTATTTAATTCCATCAACTTTAGAGAGAATAATCAACAATTCTATTCCCAATATCTCTTCTTCTTCTTCTAATTTCTCATGGTATCAAAGCAGGGCAATCTCACCCAATGTTGGGCCACAAATATAAAAAATTACCCATGCACCATATGCTAAGCATTGGGCGAGAGGTGGAGTGTTAAAGAATGACAAAAGTCGCACATTTGTGGTTAATGAGATGGGTGGACTCCTTATAACGCTTGGGCAATCCTCCTCCCTTAGAGCTAGCTTTTGGGGTGTGAGTTAGACCCTCGCCCCGAGATTCTAACGATGACGGAAGCCTCTATCTTGAAGGGCCGCGTGACTTTATCTCTTTGAAGAAGGACGAACTCTTCTTTATATACACAATTTTATGTACGAAATTGGAAGAAGAATTGTTGCTTTCAAGTGTGAATCAGGTCCAAGATTCGGACTAGGAATTGCTATTTTTTCCGATGCAGTTAGCTCTATTCCCTGACCTGAGGGCGTCTACTAAGACCTAATTTAACATAAAGAATAATGTATATATAGAGGATGAAGAAGATCTTGTAGATCTATTAGGAGCCTTGTAATCTATTATTTTTTTCTTAATTTAATACTTCATGATACACATATGGTCACTCAACACAAGGAAGTTCATTTAGAAAGTCACTTAACTCAGGGTAGCTCACTTAGAAAGTTACTCAACTATTCGTATTTCACCTCGAAAGTCATCCAACCAATTTTAATGATTTTGTCATATTTTAGGCTAAATTTTTGAGAAACACCTCAAATTTTAGGACTTATGCCTTATGGATCTATGCTTTTAATTTACACCCTGGAGCGTTTTTGGTACGCCCCGCCCCGAGACTCGCCCCAAAAATGTTTTTGAAAAAACTGAAACAAACTATGTGCATCAATATTTTATATATATATATATATATATATTTATATTTATATTTATAATTTTAGTGGATCAAAATAAGTGGGGCGGGTCAATAAAATGGTTAAAATCAGTATTTTATTATTTCTTAAAGTTTAGCTTAAAATAAAATTCCATTTCAACAAATTTAATGAAAAAATTATTAAAATTGGTTGGGTAACTTTCTAGGTGAAATATCAATTAGTTGAGTGACTTTTGGGTTATAAAAAAGGTTGAGTTACCTTCTAAGTGAACTACCTTATGTTGAGTGATTTATAGGTTATAAAAGTTGAGTAACTTTCTAAGTGAACTACCCTAAGTTGAGTGACCACCTGAAATATTACCTCTTTTATTTTGCTCAAAATGTTGAAGAATCCACTTCGATGATACATGATTAGGTTCACAAACCATTTAAAAGATCAAAATTTTCTGGCATACGGATGAGTTTATATAGTTCTATGACCTAATTAGCCCTTGACTCCATGAATGGGAAAGGAAAGAAAGAAGAAGTGACAAGGACAGAGAACAAAAAGGAGAAACAAAGAGTAAAGGAAAAATGGAATTGTATTGTATCTTTTTATTTTTTGTGTAAAGAACAATGTGTAGAGGATGCATAAGATCTTGTAGATCTATAAGGAGCCTTGTAATCTGTTAATTTTTCTTAGTTTAATACTTACTGAGTTTTTGATGTTGAGAAAATGGATTTTGGGCCTAACTCAACCCCAAAAGCTAGTTCAAGAGGTGAGGATTACCCTATCTCTTAGCTGATGTGGGAGACTCAACACCACCACCACCCCTGTAATGACCTTTAGGTCATTTTTGAATTTTTTCGTAAAATTATCGTTTTAGCACTCCCAATGATGGCCCCGAGTCATTTTTGATTGGTTTGTGAAATCAGTTTTGAGTTTTGAGTAAAAAGTGGTGAATTATGAAAAAAATTGAATTTGAAAGGCTAAAGTTGGTAAAAAAAAAGTGGTTTTTGGTGTCTTTTGGAGTTTCGAGTCTCGAAATAGAATTTCTTCGATTCCATCAATCCTGGAATGTGAAAATTGGTCTAAGAGATTAGTTGGTTTCGGATTCGGAGTCTTTTTGTGGATTTGAGGTTCTAAGTTGGAAATTGTTGAGATTTTTAGGCATTAGTTGGTTCTTTGTGACTTTCACGAATTTCGGGTCTAGGAAACCTCGGATTCGTGTTTTGATGGTTTCATTGAGCCTGGAACGTTGAGTTTAGTTAGGTTGCATAGTTTTTGTGTACAGGATTTCGAACGAATCCCAAGGGTCCTTTCGAAGAGTTGAGAGTTGGCTGATTTTCTGATGTCTGGTGTGCTTTGCTTTAGCGAGGGACGGCTCACTCTAGCGAGCATCGCTTCAACGAAGCTAGCGTCACGTTCCCGAGTGATCGTCGCATTCGCAACCTTCGCTGATGCAAAGGTTAGCTCGCGATTGCGATAATTATGTAGCGACCCTGGGTTCACAAGAGCAACTTCAGAGAGGGTTTTGTCTGAAATTTCAAGGTTTTACCCCATTTTGAGATTTGGAAAACCCTTGGAAGAGATTTTAAAGAGATTTTTCGTAGCAAATCATTTGGGTAAGTCTTTGTGACCCTAAAACTTCAATTCTCTATGATCATTTGCAGATTTTAACATCAAAAATTGGAAATTTTGAATGGCAAAGTGAAGGTTTTCATGAACTTGAGTTTTCAAGTAAAAATGGAGAGATTTTGAACTAGATTCTAATCCGTTTTTGAAATGATTTTCACCAATGAGTTCCAAATATCTTTGGTAATGTATTCAAGTAATGATTTTCGAATTCAAACCTCTTTTTCAAAAATTGGGTTTTTGAGTTGTTTTGACCCATTTTTCAAAGTGTATGATATGGGTGTTGTCATTTTCGAAATCTTATTGTGATTACTTGTTGGATTAGATTGTGTGGCTTTGGATATCGTTCGGAAAGGAAAAGCTCAAGTCTCGGATTGACTTTTGATTGAATTAAGACAGGTGAATTTTTGAACCTTATTAAAACTTGTAGAATCTTGAACTCTCTTTCTTGTATGTGTTGGGGAGTAATGGGAATGAAGTGATGGGTTAATTGCTCAAATTGGTTAACCTTAATGATAAAGACGGGGTTAATTAAAAAGGCAATGTGTTGCTAATGGCTTATTGTGCATTGTGAATTGCCTTGAGTGTTGATATTGATTCGGTGATTGATGTGATATTTTGATAGTATTGTTGTGGATGAGAATTGTTTGTGATTGTTACCTCTTCATTATTGTGTGAACATTCCTATTTGCATTGGTTCTAAAACACAGTGAGAAGATATCTTGTATTGATGCAAAGGTCATTGTCGGTGAGTGTGATTGATGTCGAGGTCATTGTCGGTGAGTGTTATTGATGTCAAGGTCATTGCGAGCAAGTGTTATTGATACCGAGGTCTTTCTTGGCAAGTGTTATTTATGTTGAGGTCTTTACCAGCGAGTGTTATTGATGTTGAGGTCATTGTCAATGCATGTTATTGATGTTGAGGTCTTTGTTGGCAAGTGTTATTGATGTCGAGGTCTTTATCGGCGAGTATTGTAATGCTGAGGTCATTGCCGGCGAGTACCTGGACTATGGGTGTTCCGCATGAGTCTTGATTGATATTTGTGCATAATAATCTTGATACTTGTGTTTGGTGTACTTGATTGTTGTGCTTGACGATCGTGATACTTGTAGTTGATGAACTGTAATTGTTGAACTATGACTATGAAACCTTGAGAACTGTACTTTGTAAATTGTTAGGTTGGGCTAATTTTTATGCAGGTTGTAGTTTTGGCGGTTCTGTTGGGATGAAAGGAGTTCTCATTTTCTAGCTAGTTGTACCTTGTTTTAGTAGGTTACTTGTTGAGTACCGTGTCGTTCGTACTCACTACTTGCTTCTACACTTGTGTAGGTTCCGAGCCTGGACCCGTACGATCATTCATCTTCATCTTTCTTCGAGGCTTTCAGAGGATACATTGAGAGGTAGCTTTTTGTCATCCTGACAGGCCCTCTTGTTCCTTATTTTATGCTTTGTTCTATTCGAGAAACAAAGACATTGAGACTTGTTATTATCTTTCAATTTTGTATTTATACATTAGTGGCTTGTCCACGTGACAACAAAATTTTGAAGGTGATTATGAAATTGGCCAAGTTTTCCACACTTGCACGCCCATTCCTGCCAACAGGGAACTTGAACAATATAAAGAGGGGCCCAACATCAGTGAAACAAAGAATTGAGAAAGGCCTAGCTCTAATACATGTGAAGTGGAAGAGAAAATAAGAGAGAACTGTCTTGATTTTCCCTCAAGCTATTGGGGCTTAAATAACTATGCTTGCATGTCCTAAAAAGTAAAGGAAATCAATACCTAGTCAAAATAGGAGTAAATTAAAGTACCTATTTTAATTACACATATTCTAGAATATTTACAAGGATTTTAACAGAGGTCTCCCGCATATCCTTAATGTTGAGGAATACAACAATACCAATTCTCAAAAAAAAAGTATAAGGAGAAAAGGAATGAGTGCAGCTATCAAGCATTTCGTGGTGCAGGAATGGGATTCTCTTTATAACATGTGAACTGTATGATTGATTTAAATATAATGACATTTGGAGGTTATCCTGATTGAAGCACAAAGTTGTTTGCTTAGGTTATCACCTCACTATACTCATAACACTCAAAAGTGGAAAGAGGAGATGAATTAAAGTTCCACTCAGATTTGCTGAAGCACGATAATAACCATTGGCGCAATATGACCAAAAGGTTATGGGTTTAAGCCGTGGGAAACAACCTTCTGCAAAAATGCAAGCTAAGGTTGTGTACAATAAACAAACTGTGGTTCAGCCCTTCTCTAGACTCCATGCAGGTTAGAGCACTGGACTGCCCTTTTTTTTTCCCAGATTCAATGAGCTGCAAAAAGAGAATATCCAGAGAAGTAACACAGCAAAGATTAAATAATTATCGGAGGAAACAAGGATTCAACTTCTAGACCTCCAAAAAGGACAGTAAAAGTTACTAAAATAAGCTTAAAGATAGTAGAATCAGGTTTAGGTAGAGATTATATCAACCCAAAAGTATGATGAAGGAGCTTAGACCACCATAGCAACAAGAGAAATCGGATATGCTGGAGGAAAAATCAAAGAAGTTATTGAAAGGAAACTCAAACATAAGAAATGTATTGGAGACAGACCCTAGCAGCGATGCAGTTAAAGAGGGGGATAAGTAGGCAAACTTCTTGCGGGTGACAAGAAATGTTCCGCAAGAAGGTTTGTTGTCAAAATACTGGATGGAGGCAGAGCGCCAGAAACTTATCTCTGAGAGAGCTTGAGTGCCTCTTTTATTGCTCTGAATCAGGAAGGAAGAATCTGCTGATCTCAAGGGTTTGACTAAGGCCGGTATAATATGACCAACTCCTGGTACAGAAGGAATTCACTGTGGCTTTTTTTCCCAGCAGTAATGGACTGTCATTGAGGCAAATGTCATACATGCGACTCTTTTCCCCAGGACATGGATCCTAGAGAAGAGCTTGAATAAAATGATTGAACTTAAAATCTTTTCTGGAGAAAAACATTTTCCTGGAAAGACAGATTAGCTATACCGACATACCAGCATTCTAATACCACCAGGAACAGGATAAAGAAAATTAGGTCGCTTGTGATCTAAAGACGACTATTCCTAATATCAAACTGGTCGGATCAGTTGAAAAGAACCATACATAATGCCTTGTTTCACGTCTTTCTTTTCTTTTACAAGGTCAAGTTTTATTAATGAAGTACCAAGATGGTACCGAAAAGTTAAAACCAATAGCACAAGAAACATCAGCACATCAAGTAATTCCTCCTAGCAAGATTAAGAGATCCATGTACTGATCCAGGTTATCTACCCTACTGCTAGAGTTCTGAATTCTAGAAACCTGCATCCTTTTTCCTTCAAAGCAAGCCTTATTTCTTTCCAACAATATAGTCCAAAAAATACATCTGGGAATGGTTCTCCAAATCTGTTTCAGGTTTCTAGACATCCTTTGACTTTTCCAGCAATCCGTTATGTTCTTAATCTTCAAGGGCATAAGAAACACCAGTTACATTAAAAGCAACTCCCAGCAGTCTCAGGAAACTTTGCAATGCAAAAACAGATATTCCGCTGTTTCCTGGTCTTCTTCGCACAAATAGCATCTATTACTTAAAGTGAAACTCCTTTTCTATTAAATTATTTTATGTCAAACAGGCCTCCCAAGTGACAATCCATCAAAGGGAGGGAGCTTTACCGGGAGCTTTAGACTTCCAGATGATCTTCCAAGGTCAATTAGATGTTCCCTGACCATTCCGCTGTAACAACAGTTTGTTGTCATAACAGAGAACATTTTATCCTTGCTATTCACCCAAATCAATGCATCCTTCTTGTTTAGATCAATTTAAATAGGATCCAACTGTTGAGTAAGTTGACAGAAAGTTTCCAGTTCTCAATCATCTAGTCTGAATTCTAGATTCAAGCAAGAGATGGAATGAAACTCGGAAACATATACATCCTTAAGCACAGAACATCTGATCAAGTCTGGATACCTGCGTCTGAAATCTACATTCCCATATTAGAAATCTGTCCAAAATTTAATCATGGATCCTTTACCCACCTCTAATCTAGTATACCGTAAAAATGCATCGCACATCCCATCAATGTCTTCCCAAATATGCCCTGTTGTTCTCAATTGTGGAGGGTATTGTTTCCAACAATCATTCTTACCATATATAGCATTTATTAGCATAGCTTTTCCCAGATTTCATCACCTCGCCTATTATATCTCCACAGCCACTCAAGTAATAAACTCTTGTTATGTAATATCAAATTCCTCACTCCCAAACCTCCCTCTTTCTTTTCATTTGTAACCCTTGTTTCACTTGATATGACTTCTTCTAAAGGTTCCTGCATATCATTCTGATTAAACTTCCCAGCCAGCAAGAAAAATCATGACACCCAAAATATAGAGCAAATGAAAAGAAGATTTGATGGTAGGTACAACAAATAGCAATTGGCACATTAACAACTTGTAAAAGAAGACTTTTATACTGGAGAAAAAAAATCAGAAAAATGAATAAAGCTCTTATTTAAAAAATTGTTATAGAAGCAAATCTACTGAACCTTATTTCCTCCTTGCAGAGCCAGTGAAGTAGTTTGGGGTTGCTCGTATCGGCGGGATGTAGAAAGCTAAGAAATCACAATAAAGAAAGAAGTTATTGGAATCATCAAATGAAGTTCACAGAACTATTAAGCAAAGGAGGTAAGGGTAGTAAAAAGTTTTCCTAGCCTAGCAGTAACTTACTCATTGAACTCAGTAATGTTTAGAAGCCCATCTCCATCTATATCTGACGCATTAAAGTGATCTTCTTTCCACCAGCCCATATCATATCCAAAAGAAGTATTATCTGTTGCAGCATAACCACATCAAAATTTGTGACAGATTAAATATATAAAGAAAGTAAGCAGATATAGAGTTGAGATACTGTGATTGCGGTGAGTTACTAAATCAATGGATTACTGAAACAGTGGAAAGAGACAAAACCTGAATTCCGAACCCAACTGGGAGGCTCATACTCATGGAAAGAGACAAAACCATCATGATTTTTGTCATGAACTTCCATATCTCTTTGAGTCCTATGCAAAACCTCCTTCCGGGTCTGCTCCAGATTCCAGTCAGTCAACTCATGGTCAGTGACGAAACCATCAGATGGGTGGACATCAATCTTGGGAAACAATAATACAAGTCTATCAGTTACATTGAACTTGTGTTCATCATTGAGATAATCTTCAGCATCCATAAAGTCTTCCCATTCAGGCTGAGATTCTTGACCAGGAGCATGTTCATGTATTAATTGATGATGATGGGTGTCAATATACTGCTTCTCCCATTCCTTATCCTCACGTTGGCGTTCGATTTGAGCAACTAAAGGGTCAAAGGGAATATGTTCATGGTGGGTAGGATGTGAGTCAAAAGTGAAGTTGGAGCGCAATTTAAGTCGGCGATGACGCTTAGGTTTGTTGGAAGGAGAAGGAGAGTGAGAGATGAGGAATAGAAGGAGCACAGCAGCTGTGATGTAGATAATCACTAAAGCTTTCCCCATTTCCTCATCTAAATATCGACAACCAAGCAAAGGGGCAGCAGATCGATCTTCTTCGCCTACAAATAGTTGACAAATTGGACTCAGATTGGGACTCAACCGATCGTTAGATGTGTTTGAATATGTATGTATGTATGAAAATAGATAGATCTAAAATAGGGAGGAGGTGGCACGCCTGCAACCAAATTCACATTCTTCTCACCAATCAACTCCTGCCATGTCAAACACTCTCCCCTCTGCCTCTTACTAAAAATGAGTATGACGTGTCTATCAAGGCTTCAAAGTTTTTTTTTAAAAAAAAAAAACAAATTCATCATTACCCTATTCAACTATAAAACTATTTAAAAAAAGACACTGAAACTTTACAAAGGTCCTAGTACCCCCTTAAACAATTTTAAAATGGTAAAAATATTTCATTTTTTCATCAACCACAAGTATAAGAAAGGAAGTGCATACACGCACCAATTAATACTCACCACGTGTCAATCAAGTTAATTTTAAATTTTTATTTTCATATATATTATTTCTTATTCATTTTTCTAAAAAAATAATAAGTAAATTATCTTTTCTTCTTCTTCAACAATATTTCAATAGCAGCAGTAGTCGTTCTCTTCGCCGCCGTCAGCAATTCTCTTGTTTTACCACCACTGCTATAACATCAATAACACATCTCAACAATGGCTAAGTAAATCTGTAGGAGCAAAATTTCTTCTATTTTCTCCAATGGATAATCTTCTTTTTGTGTATTTACCTTTGATTTTTGCTCGAAATCAAGATGTTTTGTATCAATAAAGACCGAAAGTCTTTCTCTAATTTTAGATAGGGTATTTTCTACTTCGTTTGAACATGGCCCCTGGCGATTCTCTCTCCGTCGTGCCGGCGTTGTCAATCTCTCTAGCGCTTCTTTCCGATCTTCCCCATCACCTCACTCTGCTTCCATCTCTTTCTCTTTTCAATAATCTCATCAATGTTCTTCAAAGCTTTGGAGTGGAAATTTTCTATGGCCTCCAATTTATCTTCCAGTGCAAGAATTGCAGCTTGTTCATCGGAGTGCTGATAGGTCTCAATTGTCAAAATAAAATAAAACTGTTTTTCATCAAAAATAGAAATGAAACAAATAGAGTAAAAAGAAAATCATATTTTTGATTAAATAAATACTAAAATAAATAAAATAATATTTTTTTGTTTATCTCACTCGCCACTTGCGAGTGAAATACACTTTGTGTGCCACATAGGATCACAAGGGGTAATTAATCCACTGTGAAAAAGAATAAGGGGGTACTAGGACCCTTTGAAAGTTCAAGTGTCTTTTTTTAAAAAGTGTTATAGTTGAATGGGGTAATGATGTATTTTCTAAAAAAAAAAGTGACAACTTTGACTAGCTAGAACCCATTTGGATTGGCTAGTTACAAATCCTAGATACAAAGTGCATTTATGAGCTCTTTTTGAAGGAGTGTAACATATCTATTCTCTTTCTAATCTCCCTTTGGAACTGTGCTATAACAAAACTTGTATTTACATTTATGTTTCTGAAAATCTTCATGTTTCTTGCTCGCTAAGTGTGATAAATCATAGCACCATAAATTGTCGTAGCTACTTCCTTTTGGAACCTTTTTCATCTTCTTCTTTGGAACCATTGTAGATTTTGTATCATTCCCCTCTGTTGCAAGTACAAGCCTGACCTTGTAGAGAGAGCGGTCCTTATTTACAATATCCAACCACATCTAGCAAACAAATGAATCTGAGTCTCTATTTGATCTTCCTCACATAAGCAGCATGTAAGGTCATCAACTGAAATGTTGAATTTGTTCATTCTTTCCTTGGTAAGTATCCTACTCTGGAAAGCAATCCATAGGATCATTCTTATACTTTGGCAGCATCATTGAATTCCATATAAGCTCTGCTTCTTTCACTCTAGGCAACTGACCAACTGACCAAGTAAAGCGAAATAACTCTTATACACCGAGTAATTACCAGAAAGGGACAGATGGTACCTTCCCCTACTATACCAATGAATCATCTACTCTTTTAGTCAGTTCAGCTTCCTCAAGTATCAACTATTGTCCGTAGATTGACAAAGATTACATATTGTACACCATCCTTCATGTAAATTCCATAAATGCATTTAAACCACAATTAGTCTTGTTTTGTAGCCAATTGCCATATGAATTTTCCAACAGAGGCAATATTCAGCTCTTGCAGCTTCTAATGTTTAGGCCACCACATTTCTTAGGAGTACAGATTTTCTCCCATGCTACTAGCGTTATTTTTCTCTTTTCATCAATTTTTCCCCACAGATAATTCTTGCATTTCTTGTCTACTTCCTTCAATACACTTTGAGGTAGTATAAACACAGTCCCCCAAAAATTATAGATAGAAAATAAGACAACATTTATGATTTGAAGTCGACCAGAATAAGACAGTTGTCTAGAATAAAATGTGATTCTGGAGGTTACCTTTTCAATTAACTGATGACACTTCATTTTCCTCCATTTCTTTGAGGACAAAGGTAAGCCTAAGTCATTTTAAACTTATTTTAAGTTAATTTTAACCTTACCAAACACTTCCTAACTTATTTTATGTCATTTTTTGACTTATTTTATGTTGTTTTTATATTTGTCAAACACTTTCAGAAGTCCAATACTGACTTATAAGTAGGTTTAATCAACTTTTAAGTCAATTCAAACACACTCTAAAGCTTCTACTAGTAAAGGATTAAGTTAAGTAAAGAATAAAATGTATTTCTTAAAACTTAATAAAATACAAAAATAATCCCCTCTTGACCTCTCCATAGGGAATTGGAAATTCAAATTTATTTTATTCTTCTTCCACTTAGAATTTAAAGTCAGAGAAGGAAACTTCTTAATTTTGTTTTCATCTTCTTCATTTCATTTTCCTTTTTGTGTTCGTCGTCGTCGTGATCGTTTTGTTACTCTACTGCTAGGGTTTCAACAATTTTAATTTTTTTTTTCTTTTTGTCATAGTCAGGATTTTGATTTTTCTTGTGAAAATGGTGTTTAGGTTAAAAAAGATGATAAAATACATGAATTTCACAAATTTTGTTGTTGCATGCCCTAATAAATATGTTCTTGGGTTGTTTGGTGTTTTTTTAAATATGTTGTTGTTCTTTGATTGTTGTTATTGTACTCTTTGTGATAAAATATGTTGTTTTTAAGTTATTGTACTCTTTGTGAGAAAAATATATATTCTTATAGTCGATGGTGGATTGGTGTTGATGGTTGGTTCCTCAGATCTTGTTGTAAATAAGTGAAGTAGTTGCTAAAGTATTTACAACAACTACTGAACTTTCTAAAACAGTTGAGTGAAGTTGTAGAAAGTTGTTTCACTCAACTGTAGTAAATTAAAGAAGAAGAAAAAGAACACAATTTTCTTAGATTGCTCATGTAGTGATGTGTTTTTAAATATGTTGTTCTTGATTGTTGCTATATTCTTTGTGAGAGAAAAATATGCTCTTGTGGTTGGTGTTGGTAGTTGGTTGTTATTCTGTATTGAGCTTGAATATTGTATATTTGTTGCAATAACCTCAAAACTTGATGTGAATAGATGAAGTAGTTGCTGAAGTTGCTATAACAAGTCTGTTGAATTTCTAAATTTATTGCAGTTGTTGCTAAAGTATATACAACAACTACTTAAGTCTATGGTGCAATTGTTAGAATTTTTATAGCAATTTAAACATTATTGCAATAGTTGCTTCATTAACTCCAACAATTACTTCATATGTCTCTTTATTTGGAATGATTGATTAAATTAATAGATTATCTCTATTTTATGTTACATGTGTAAATAAAGTGGCTTGGAGAAAAAAGAAAAAAATCTAGAGATTAGGGATGGGCATTTGATAGTTTTGTTCAGTTTCAATTTATTTATTTTTTTCAATTTTCGATTATTGAGTTTGTTGTACCAAACACCGAACCGAATTAATTTGGTTTCGATTTTATTTTTGTAATACGGTTTAGTTCGATTCGATTTATTAAATTTATTTTTTAATGATATAGTATTGTAGTTCGCTGGTGTTAGATCACATTAGGTATAGGCAGACGACGATGGCCGATGGACGGATGCTGCAAAATGCTAGAGCCTAAGGGGTGCTAAGGGCATATTGAAAATTTTGAACGAAAAGTAAAAGGACAAAAAATTTGGAACGGAAAGTAAAAATTTGGAACGGACGCATCAACTTGGAGTTGGAAGAGGAGGTGCGGTGGCTGGGTAGATTAAAAATTTGAAACAAAAAGTAAAAAAGACAAAAAAATCAAAAATGAAAACCTAAGGGGTGCTAAAGGGAAGAAAATGAAATATAGTTAGTAGTTACTACTTAGTACCTGTAGTTAGTAGAAATTAGAAAATATATAATATAATACTAATAATTAAATAATATCTAAAATAGTAATGCATAAATTTCGGTTAAACCGAAATACAAAAATTGTGTTACCGAAAACTGAATCGAAAAACCAAAGTAACAAAAAATATGAATCAATACCGAATTGAAAATCCGAAAAATTGAAACTGAAAATCGAAATTTTTTTAATCTGATTCAATGTATCGATTTTTCAATATTTATGCCCACCCCTACTAGATATGATGTTTCTACTAGAATTTCAAAAAAAAAATGAAGTAATACATAAAGAGAGGTTGAAGAACAACAAAATAAGGATATAAATGAAACACAATTGACAAATCTTGTTGAGCATATCAAACCCTAAGCAACTAGATAAGGGTCTAGAGGAGGAGGGGGAAGAGGAGGAGGAGGAGAAGATCTTGTTGAGCATATCATTGTTGAAAGTATCTTGTTGAGCATATCATTGCTGAGAGTTAGACAACGTCAAACCCTAGGCAATTAAATGAGGGTCTAGAGCAGTCATCAGCAGTAGGAGGAGGAGTCTGAAAGAAGAAATGATTCTTTCAAAGATGTAGATGATTCTGATTTTACTGATAATTTAAAAAATATTGAAGATAATGGTGAAGTTGCACAAGATAAGGTTAGATAAAAAAGACGTTATGATAAATATGTACCGTAGCTTTCACTGACCAGTACTTCAGCTGTCAGTCCTTCTGTTACTAGTCCTT